TAGAACTCACACATACTTCACATATTTAAACTTTAAATCCAAAGTCTTTTAGTTTGATATCAAAAACTAGTCTAACCAATAGTCAATGTGTAGCTCAAATTTAACTTAATCTAACAGGTTTCGTTTGAGACGGCTTTCTTTATGCTCATTCAAAGCAACTTTTAGTATAAAAAAATTAAAATTTTTATACTAGGAACTGTTTTTAAGCAGCAATAAGAAGCCGTCCCCAACAAGCCTCCAGGCCTACTTTCAATGATTTTTAAAACGGACTTTCCAGCACAAAAGTTTAAAAATTTTCAAATTTAGCACATTTTGTACGAAAAAAACTGTTTTACGAAAGCAAGGAGAAATCATCCAAACGAAGCCTAATTCTTTGGAAGTCAGCGAATCAGCTCAAGACGTTGAGTTCTCGCTCAGACGCTCAGTTACAACAAACACCGGCTAGCCTACAGCCGCGTATTCCAAATTTGAAAATTTTGCTCCACTAATTAAATTATGTTTCGCTGCTCGCGATCAAACACTCAGCGGCATCTGCCAGTTACGCCATTTATAAACGATAACGAGAAAAGACAGAAAAATATCATTCGATCTGCTGAAATGCTGCTTGGTCGAAGAGACGAGAGCCGCTTGCCTCGTCGTCAGGCTGAGCGGAGATACCCTCTCTCTCCGTGCCGTTAACTTTGGCTCCATTTTGTGTTTGGAATGTGGATGAGATTTGGGAGATTGTATTTTCTTTGATAATCCTTGTCATGTATCTGCCTGTAGCTTTGTTTAATCCGTTCGAAATGACGCGCGTGACATGGCGTTCGGCGATATGGACAATGCTGAGCGTCGTCGGGCGATATGGGGATGTTCTCATTGCTCGCGGGGAATGGTCATGTGGGGATTAGGGCCTGCTTGTGGAGTTCCTCGAATTCCGACGCACTTTCGCGCCAGAATTTAGCTGTCTGCTTATTACGGCGCACCCACGACTGGTTTATGCGCCGGTAGTTCAGCCGGCATTACATACGACGTAAACTACGACGCCTTAAAGGGCGTCGGAATTAATCGCATTGAAAATTGCGTCGTCTTTATATCAATTTTGTCCGCCGTAAATGCGCCACTGCGCCGGAATGTTTCGGCCAAATTTACAAAACGTCGAAAGTACATTTAGCGACGCACGCCAAATCGGACAGAAAATCCCGGAAATGCCCTGGAAAACCGAGGGATTTCCGTCATGTATTGAGTACTGGCGGATATGTCCGCCTGGAGACAGCGTGTTTCCTATAGTGCCTGTAATATCCAAAATCTGCTCCAGGGATCGTCCAGGACGATCGGCATCGCGGGACATCAGTGGAGAAATGCCCAGAATTTTGCTAATTTGCTCCAGGTGTTTTTCCTGTAGGCACGTCCGGCCGATTGAGGCACGGCCCAGGCCGATGTGCACTGTCAAAATATCGGCCGGAGATGTCCCTGAACGTGCCAGGACGACAAAATTTGGTCTGGATCGTTCTGGACGATCTGGCGATCGCCGCCGATCTGAGTTTATAGAAGCTGAAATCCAGTCGTTTGAGAGAGAGAAAATCAGAAATAAAAAAAAAATCTGAGAAGAGAAGTCGAGAGAAATCTTGGAAAAGGTGGATTTTCGGCGCGACGCGGAGCGTTTTTCGTCCGAAGAGACTGTTCAGGAAATTGGCTGTACGCAAGGTAAGCACATTCCGGCTTCTCAATTTTCAGAACCGTCGTGTTTGCGGATTTTTCCCTGTCGATTTTGTTTCCCGTTAGCGATTTTCGTCCGTATCTTTGATTGGGTTCAGTTTACCGCGTAACTTTTGTATATTGTTGCCGTGCCAGGTGGTGCACGTTTTGACTATCTTTTTGAAGATTTTTGTCCGGGTCATTTTTGATTCGACGGAGTTTTTAGTCGCTGGAATTTTCTGTGTAATTGAAAATCGTATGTGCACGTAGAAAATGTTCTGAAAATGTTATTTCTACTTCTGTACGAAATTTGGTAAATGTAATCATTCAGGAAAAATTGTGTAAATCTGTATAGCTGCCTTATGCTGCCGACTTTTTGTCTGATTTTTATTTTGTTTGGATTTTCTCTGAATTGATATGCTATTGTATATGCTATACAAAGGGAGTTTATAGGGTCTGGATCCTATGAGATTCAGTTTAGTGTCTGGGAATCCTAAATGAAAGCTAATCTGAATTGTGTTCTGTTCCGGATCTGAGGAATCTGTTAGGTGCTATAGGCAACTATATATTATTCTGGTGCGATAAGCACATCTGTCGGTGCCAGTGACACAAAAGGGAGACAAAGGCCTGGATCCTAATGAGATTAAGTCAGTCAGGGAATTTAAGTCAGGAGGACCGTAGTCGGCGGGCGACAGAGGTCGGAAAAACTGTAGTCGGCGGGTGACATAAGTCAGGAGGACCGTAGTCGGCGGGCGACGGAGGTCAGAAAGACTGTAGTCTGACGACGAAGATCAGAAGGACAACGTCAGGTGGAAGTCCAACAATGGAAAGAAATCCATCTTCGCATAGACGTCCAGCGAAGTCCGATAACCGGTAGAAGTCCGGTGTCGGGTAGAAAACTTGGCGAAGAGTGAAGGTTCGACGTCGGGTAGAAGTCCGACGTCTGTTGGTGGCAGAGGAGAACTCCGGCTTCACTTGGGTGGAGTTTCGGCGTCAGGA